GTCATTAAACAAATATTTTGCTTCCGTCTTCACGTTAGAGGACACTGAAAACTTACCGAAAATAGAGGTAACCTGGAGGCTAATGTTGGTGAGGAACTTAAAGAAATGAACATCAGTAAAGCAATAGTACTAGAGAAATTGATAGGAATAAAAAACAATAAATCCCTTGGACCTGATGGCCAGCATCCTAGGGTTTTAAAAGAGGTGGCTGCAGAAATAGTGGATGCTTTGTTTTTGATCTTCCAAAATTCCTTGGATTCTGGAATGGTTCCCAGTGATTGGAAGGTCGCAAACGTAACACCGATATTTAAGAAGGCTGGGAGATAAAAAATGGGGAACTATAGACCAGTTAGTCTGACATCGGTGGTAGGGAAAATTCTAGAGTCCTTAATTAGGGGCGTCTTCGTGGAATACTTAGAAAATCATAACATGATTAGGCAGAGTCAGCATAGCTTTACGAAAGGGAAATTATGTTTAACAAATCTTATATAGAGTTTTTTGAGGATTCCTCTGAGACTCCAGGAGAAACACCTCTGAGACAATAGGATGTGGGTTCAAGCCCTGACTAGGGACTTTAGAGTTCATAATTTAGACTGACTTGCTGTGATGTTGGAGATCCCATCCTCGAGATGAGACATTAAACTGAGGTCCCGTCTGCCTGTTCGGGTGGACGTTAAAGATCTTGTAGCACTGTTCAAAAAGCTCCTGGCTAACAATCCCCCAGATAAAATTGTTAATTTCTTTCAAGGCTCCATGTGGGACAGTGCAGTGAGTAAAAATAGCTGTTTGCATTCACCTGCTAATTCACAGTCACTACGCACTGTAAAGCCCTGTGGGATATCCTCTTCTTGTGAATGACACTATATCAAATGTAAGAATTATTATTATAAATAGTGAATGACGTGGAATTGTTAACATTCACTGATGTCAAGCAAGACCTTAATTTAATATCTTATCCAAAGGACTGCACTTCAAACAATCCTGGGCTCTCCAGCACTGCTTTGAGTGTCACAATGCTTATGAGCCCCAAGTCCTGATGTGAAGTTTAAACCCACAGCTTTCTGACCTGGTGGCAAGAGTGCTATAAGCTGAGCCAGGGTGACACTGTGTTTAATGGGTTTAGTTATGTACATTAATACAAAATACCCATCTGCATGCAAATCAAAATCACTTTAGATTTCAATAAAGTAATAAGAAAAGAAACCGGAAACTTTTATATTGTGCCCAACATCCCCTCCTTCTCCTCCTCCCCACCCACTCCTGTTGAAACAGAAATGTCCAGTACAGAAGGAGCCCATCTGCCTCTTTGTGTCCCTTGAGTTTAAAAATGAAATTGTGTTGTAAATTTCCATCGTCACAAAGCTAAAATCCTCCACTTCCTATTAATTACTGAAAATAATGAAAATCTTGAGGACAATCTGTTCAACAGCACTTCCCCAGGCTACAAGTCCCTACAAGTCACTCTTCATTCATTCTAACAAATCCAGGCTCATCATCAGCTCTTTAGACACATCTTAACACAGTCTTAACTACCCCCACTTGCGACATAAGCGTACCAATGATTGCTCGGGAAAGTGGAATTCAGGAGACTTCAGAGAGGACAAAATCTGCAGAGTATTTTCCTTGCGGGAGGAGGTGGAAGGTGGTTTGGGGGTAGCAGACAGACAACTACCTATTTGCTTGGAAATGATAGCATCAGTCTATTATTATGCCTCTCAAATGTGTGTCTTTTTCAAATCATTTCATGCCCTCGCACCTCCCTACCTTTCTGCCTTGCTCACCCCCCACTCCACCACCTGCTGCCTCCCCTCGACTGGCTCCATACTCCTGTTCATCCCTCGCCCCCTCCACTCCACCATTGGCGGCCGTGCATTCAGTCACTAGGCCGCAAAGCTCTGGAACTCTCTCCCCAATCCCCCTGCCTTGCCTCCTTAATCCCCACTTTCAAATCCCACCTGAAGACCTTTTTTGATCGTGCTTACAGTCACTTCCCCCTCCCTCTCCCCCTGGCTCGGGATCAGACTCTGCCATTGTTAAGCGCTCCAGGATGCTACCTCGGGTAAAGGGCGTTATATAAATGCAAGTTGTTGTCTTATGTTTCCATGCATGCACTGTAAATATGCCACTTGTAAAATCAATGCATTTCTGGTTGTGAGGTGTTGCCATGTAATCACTTAATGCTATAAAAATCAGCTTATTACAACACTTAAGAGAGGGAAATAATTCTCCCACTTATCTGTTATCACAGCAGGTATCCATTAAGGAAAGGAGGCCCTTGTCATTAAACGCTATTGAGAGCTAATAAGGCTGAGTTTAGTTAGCTGCAACTATTAGCCATAGCAGAGAGTTTGTGTCAATTCAGATAATTCCAAGCATTTCTCACTCCAATGTAACTATTTTATAACATTCAGCATGTATGATTTTCCTTGACACAAAGCAAATAAGAAACTATGATTCACTGCAGAATGTGACAAAATTTACATTGCATTCATTAGCATTCTTTAATACTATCCACCCGTTCTTATCTGTTCATAGTTAAATCTATTCGGAATTCAATCTTCCCAAGAATTCCTTGTTTTTCATCCAGATCCATGCATTAACTCAATCAACTGAATGTTAACAATCTTGTTATTCTGAGTTTCTCATTCCACTTTACTTCAGTGACTTTGAGCTGGTCACGTAGCGTTTTCATTCCATCAGCTGTTGTTGTGATTTCGACATTCAACAGGGGGTATCGAGGTTTAAAAACTAAGAGGCAACCCACAAAAATAAATGGTTAACTCATATCAGTCCAAAGTGCTGCATGAATATACGCCACTGAAATAGAAATTCACAAGATTGCGAGAGGTTTAGACTAAGAAACCCCTTCAGCACCATTTAAACACCATTTAATCTCATCCTTCCAGAATATCCACCCTCCTGTCTTCCCATTACAATATCAACTGTCTCTTAACACTGTTCCTGGTATCCCATTGTAGCCAGTAATTACCTCTGGGTAAAGAAATACTTATTGGTATCTGTCCTAAAATTGCCCTTCACAACCCTGAACCTGTACCTTCTTGTTCTGATTGTTTGTTGTATCTGAAAATATGGTTCACTTTCTCAACCCCATTTAGTCTCTTGTATGTACTGCTACAAGCCTCCCTCCAAGATATCATTTTTTCACGGCTGAGAACCCTTGCTTATTTAGTTGAAGGAATTTACCAGCAGCACAATGCAAAACTGGGAATCAAGCCTATAGCACAAGTGATAATTTCATGTCAATAATAGCTTGCAATGGCACATTTCAAATTAGCGTATTCTAAGTACTTTGAGGTTGATTTATCTGCAGATTTGTTTTTTGAAGAAAGCTGCTGAATACCATATCTTAAGTTAACATTTATACATTTTTGTCTTAACTGAGACTTTTTTCTTAGACTACGAGTTCAAAGTCTCAATGTGAGGCTTCAACCATAACCCTCTGATCTAAGAGCTCTGCTAACTGAGGCAGGCTGATACAACAACCTGACATGATGGAGGTTGGTTGTGATTGTCTCCTGTGGTCAGGTATCTTGTTGACACTCGCTGTCTCAGTTCACACATGAGATATAGTCACTTGAGTAAGATACTGGGGGATGCCAGTACTGACAGAGCAGATATCTGAGGAAGAATCAGTACTTGAGGATGGGAGAGGAGGGGAGAAAATGTTAGAGAAGGGAATAAAAAGATATCTGAAAAAAAAGTCATTCATTCTGGTCTGGTAATTTTGGAATTACACTTCCCCCATTTTACGCCCCTGCCTTCTATCCATAATTTTATTAATTTAACACAAATAATATGGACAGAACCAGGTGTCAGGATCCAAACAGTGAATAAAAGTGAGCATGTTTCCTGGATCTATAAATTTATTTTTCATTTCTACGTAGAACAAGCTTCTCATTTCACCTTTTTGTTTGTATGTTTGCAGGGATATTTAGCAAGATATGTGCGGACTTGGGTTTTCTTTTGACTTGTTGATAGTACTGTCACATGGCATGAATAGGTTTCCCCTTTTGAGTTATAACAGAGAGGATGTTCATCTTCCAAAAGACTGATAGTTACAGAGGGTCTAGCTGAGGGATGGGGAGGACTGGCCTCTGATATTCTCCACTGAGGCTCTTACTTATCTGAATCAGTGCACATCAAGTACTGTAATGGTATATGACTGAATTCAAAGAGTAAATCATATGATGACTGCACCTTGCCCATACACAGTATAATGTGCGAACCAAATTAAATCATTCAGTTTCTTTTCGAAAAGAATAGTTCAAATTGGCCCTGTAACATTCATCTTCTGGCATTGAAACCAACTAGTAATCCTCATTCTCCAGATTAATGAATCAGTTGTTTTAATTGGAAATGACAATTTCAGCTATGACAATCCAGCTATGACAATTGTATCATCCACTACATCCCAGTTAATCCATCACATTTCATCAAAGTGTTGTATTATGCTGTATAAAGTATTAACAGATGGTGGGTGATGGATTACAAGGTGTATGTGGTCCCTCCTTGATACTGCATGCACCTTTATCATGCATTCCCAGCCATCCCCTATATAATATACAAATATTGGCTGCTTTTTCATTAGGGTTGTGGTGTCAAATTGTTCCCAAGAAGGTTAACAAAATGATCTAATGTGGGTTGCTATGCCCAGATTGAAAGCCATTATTAACCTGGGGGATATTGGCGTGCTATAACCCTCTGAAGCAGTGACTATTTGTGTAATATATAATTTTTAAGATGTCAGTAAAAGATGCCATCTTTACTTTTCCAGAATGAACTACACCCAGGAATACAGGCAGATAAAGGAGGGTTCATCAGGAAAGATAGGTGGATAACCCTTACGTGTTTCTTTGGTTGTTATTGCTGAAGGGTTATCTTCTGTTATTTTATCAAATTTATCATTATGCATGTAGAATAACCCATCTGCAGTACTGTGTCATGACAAGTATTTTTTGTTGGCTTTTTGTTTCTTAAAGGAAAGAAAAACTCACTACTTCTACACAAGGTCCAAAGGGATCTGAACGAGGGTGTTTTTAATAACCAAGAGACAGAACTGCTTAAAAAGATGGTGAAGCAAGACAGGGAGATGGTGCATTTTATTGAAGCGCCCGCCACAGTATTGGGTGTGCTTGCCCCTTCGTTTTCTGGTAACTCAGTCTTCAAGGCTTCTACCCAGTCACAATCTCCGTATGCAGTTCACTTAGATTTTCAGCAGACTCCACCCCCTAGCTTCAGTACCTGTTCACCATCTTCTCAGTCGCACATGAGACAAGCCCAGCTGGTTCAGACTTTACCCAACCAGAATTCACCAACACCTAGTCCTCATCAGACGGTGGTGCCGTCTCCCAGTTCCTACTCCGCTGCACTTTCGAGCCCTCCTGTGCAGAGCCCATTAGCCGGCCGAACTTTCCAGTATGGTTCACCAAACGTATCGCAGATATCTTTGATACAGCAGCAGCAAGCACACAGCCCGACCCACAGACGTGATTCCAACAAAAGCACACAGGCTCCGCATACGAGCAGTCTCAGCAGAGAGGTTCGGTCTCTGTCCGCCTCTCAGCCCTCTCTGCCTCATGAGGTGACGCCGCTCATTGTCCAGCCTCACCCATCCTGTGGAGAGTCATTAGCATCAACATCGCCCGTAGCGTTTTCCACCACACAAGGCATGAGCTTACAAGGAGGAATCCGCACCAACGTTCCTCAAAGGGTGTCTCTCTTCCGACACATGTCCTCAGGAGCATTGCCACCAGTTCGAGGGCCATCCACTTCGGTACCAGCCCCCAAAAGGGAATCATCTACAGTCTTAAGTACAGATAGCGATCCAGGAAGACCTCGATTTCCCTCCAACTTATGACCCTGAAGGTTTCCATCGAGTGCCGACCTTGTCATGTTAAATATTGGGATTCTGCACCAATGTACTGCAAGTCAGCCAGTTCATGAGGTTAGTCGTCTCAGCCTCTGACAACTTAGACACCGCTACCCTCATGACTTGCACAGCTCAACGAATGTAAAGAATGACCGAATAAACAATTTGAACCATAATTTTCTGAGTTCTAGTAGATAATAAGTCACCAGTCTTCCTTTCTGATGGATTTTGGACTTGCTGGTTTGTTTTATAAACTCTTGTAAAATAAGAGCTATGTAACACTAACTCATCAACTGGATCAATAATATTGTTGAAACAAAATCTCTTTGAGTGCAGCAACAATGCAAAGCCAGTCCAGGACTGAGTTTTTAGAAATACATCAATGCTGCTCAGTTGGTAGTATCCACACAGTTGAGTATTTCATGCTGAGGAGCTACTTATCAAGATATCTCATGTCAGTTGTCAGCAAAACATGGGACATGACATGTTTTTTAATGAACTTTCAATAGGTAATTGTGTAAGTTGTGTTCCAGTATTATTGGTGAAGTTTCTGCATGTTCACAGGGGCCTAAGGACCAAGTGTAAACAAATCTGTCATCTCTGCTGAAAAAGATGAGACATTCCTCATTGTAGCTTCAGCAAGTGTAATGCTAATTGTATGCTTCACTTGCTTTGATTCAGCTAAAATAACATTTACCTACAACATGCATAGGGACAAAAGAAAACCAATCCTTATCTTCACCTTTAGTTTTTAAACAAATATGAATTTATAATACTGTAGTAACTAGGATTCTTTTCATTTATATTTTTCTTAATTGTACCATTATTTTGCATTAAAAGGTGGAAAAAGTTTGTAGGTTATTTGTAGGTCTGAAAGGTAGTTTTTACACAGATCCTGTCGTAGGCGGCAAGGCATCACTAGATGCCTACGAATACTGTGCTTGTTGGTGCAGTGTTAACATTACAATGTCTTACTTTATAAAACTAGCATAGATAACGCCTACAGGGCAGGTTGATCGGATCTTTTTTCATTTATATTCTTTCTTAATTTTCCATCGTCACTGTTAATGTTTTTTTTGGCGACGTGTTAATTTTAGAAATTGCAGCGTTCTGTGTATGATGCAACTCCAAAACATATCCCAAAAGAAACAATTTAAAGCCATACTCTCTCTCATAATTTCCATGAACCTTCTAAATTCTTTAATAAATGTACAATGTAAATTGCTGCCACTTCTGTTGTTTCTGTATTCTGTAAATACAAAAAAAAACAATTATTTAAAAAAATGACAAGGTCACTGGTCTTAAAACTACTTAGAAAGGTTCTGAAAAGATGCTCCCTCACACCCTTGTGGTTGGTTGTGGAATCATTCCTGAATAGCTGTTCAGGCTGTCAAACTCAGGCATGCTTATCTCTTTAGCAAGGCTACACTATTTACTCCATATTTATTGTTTTACTTAAGAATAAACCACTGTAGACATGTATAATTTTGTTGAATAAATGGTACATTAGGACTGAAACAGCAATCACCCTTTCAGTCACGTTGCTATGTGAGAGAATATGACTTTAACTGGGAAGTTTGTATTATACTCAGCACAAATGACGAGGTCATTTTCGAATTCGAAAGACTTATTACTCATATAGGAATGAAATAGCAGAAATAAAGGAAAGGGATTTGTTTCACTGGGAAATTAGGTTTTGTGAGGTCCCTTTTTGTGTCTGTATCATTTTATTTTCCTCTGTATTAATTCCTTAAGGATTTTCTTTTCAAAGGACATTCTTAAGCTATTGTGTGCCTAAACTGTAACCATTTATATATACTAAAAGTATTAAAAAAAAATCTTCTCAAATTCATGAAAAGGCATTAGATACCCAGAAAGCCAAATAGCTAATATTTTATTTTGGCATTTTGTTTTATGAGAGAAAGGGCAGGAAGGTAACATGGTCTGATAAAGGTATCCCTGTACCTATTATGAAACCAGGTTTGTAACAACTGATGATGGCACAAAATAATGTATATAGCAATATATGTGCAGAAGTTGAATAAGACTGAATAGGATTACTGTAATGTAAAGTGTAAAAACAAAACTATATATTCTGAATTCTGGTATTGACAGTCTCTGATAGTTCATCTTTGTATATATGCAAATTAAGATGTGATTATCCTACATTAGGTTACTGTGATTGTCCTGTTTATTTATTCCATGTGGCTAAAGGCTGATGTTTGAATGTATAATGCTGGATACCAATGCTATTGGAGGAAATGGTGAACGTAATCATTCTTGTTGCAAGATACCGTGGCCAGTGGATGAACTAAATGATTTATCTTGCTGTCTTTGTTTGTAATGAAAATTTGATCGACGTTCAAACATAAAAGTAGCGAAACATTAAAAATATAATGTCATCTAAGTGAAGTGCTGAACACTGAGGTTAACCATCTTATGAAACTCAAAACTTAATCTAGTCCATAAGCCACTTTAAATGATTACTGGAATCAAAACCTATTGTACCTTTCGACAAATGAGTTCTGATTAGTAACATGACCCAAGTTCTAGTGGTATCATACCTACTAGTGTATGTGTGACACAAAGAGGGGAAGATTAGATACACTAGAGACGCAAGCCTTTGAGGAAGAAAGGTGTTTAGGTACTGAGTGAAGTCCAGCATAGTAAGAGCATAAAAAGTCTGGAACGAGAAAAGGACATGTGATCCATTCAGCCCTTGTCTTCCAAAGATCATGTCCAGTCCATTCTACCTTGGGCTCTGAACAATGCCTCTGAACTCCCAGGGAAAGGCTCTGCTTTCCAAGAATTAAAACAAGCAAAATTCCAGATCACTTATCTAATCTTACATTATTGGTCCTTGGCTGGATGCTTTATCTAGTGATGGGTGTGGGAGAGTCACATACCCACTCATCTATGGAGAAACTCTTGTCTAGTATCGAGGCTTCCTTAAGCTATTTTAATTATATTTTCATGTTCTAAGATTATAGACTAAGTTAAATAACCTGGTTGAAATTGCGCTATGCATTTCTCTCCAGATTGTACATTGTCCCTTCTCAAATTTCTTTTTTCAATGCAAACCAATTTATAGTTTCACTCTTCTTGTTAGTTATTTTATTCTATGGTTCCTTTGCATGGGTACAATCAGCTTTTCAAACCCAAGCTAGTTGTCACCCACAACTTCTTGACTTAGCTCACTTTATCTGCTGCTCTTTTCACTTCTCTGCTTCTCTTCAGTCTTGCAGTCAATCTTCTTGAGATACATCCCAGGACATTAGTCTTGTTCATAACAGCTTAACTTGACAGGATATTTTCAGTAAACTATCAATATTCATATCTAATTCCTCGACCCTTTCTGCCCTTTTATATTTCTTCATCATGTACATGTTTCACCTTTCTTGTTTTAATGCCTACAATTCAATTGATGTTAAACCCTATCAGCTGTTCCTTAATACTTCTTAGCCACCCCTTTATTTAGCCCGGTTCCCTGGGGCTGCTGTGATCGTACCTTATATTCAACACATGTCCAAATCGATAGTGTAATCAGCAGCAGTCAGCATTTTTAGCAGACCATCCTTTGGATGAGATGTTAAACCTGTTCAGGTGGACATTAAAGATCCCATGGAACTATTGAAAAAGAGAGAGGAATTTGTCCTGCTGTCCTGACCAATTCCCCAAATAAAATTATTCCTTCCCCTCATCGCTCTTTGTAGCATCTTGTTGTATGCAAATTGTCTGTCTTGTTTCCCTACAGACTGCACTTTAAAGTGTATCCTTTAGAGAGCTTTGAGCCATCCTCCTGAGGTGGAATGTGCAAAATTGAACAAAATAATTATTATCAATAACGATACCAATAAACGTGATGCCCATTGTGAATTCTAATGTGTTTGTAGAAAATTAGGATAGGAAGAAAAATACTTGAGGCGGACAGCATGATAATTATCATTTAGCGTTCATTGAACTTAACTGTGTAATAAAAAAAATAAGCACATGGAAAAATGAATTATTGCTTAATCCTGCTGGAAGATAACAGCCCAAGTTCTGGTGAATTGCCAGCATATGTCACTTCAAACTGGATCTCCAACATTTGCTCTCAGACTGCATTGCGTTATGATTTTAATTCAGCTGATGTACTGGAATTGATTAATTCATTTTGGAGTTATATTATTGCATGATTTTGGAATAACTATGATCTTAAGGCTCTTCATGTAACATCCGTGGTTCAAAGCCATTTGTTTGCACAAGTTGAAAGAGAGGTTGGCATTCATTAATTGTGTACAGCTGAAAGAATGACAGACAATGAAAAGAACAAATAAAGAAGTTAAAGTTTTATTTAAAGTTTCAAGTTCGCAATTCATTACATCTGTGCTCAATTGAAAAATAAACACGGATCTGTTCAGTAATGCTAACAGTATATTGACAGAGGATTGCCTTTGCAATTTCCATTCACATCTTCAGATAAACCTTAGGGAAACAATTGGGTTGAAGGCTTTGGGAAACGACTGAGGCAAATCAGAGTTCTAAAGCCATATCTGACAAACAGTGTCTAAGGAAGCATACAAAATAAGTCATTAAGCACACCACAGTGGCTGCTATAAGTGTCTGAGAAATGAAAACAGAAAAAATAAAGGGATTATCAGCAATACAAATTGGATCTCTCAAAAAAACAAGCATGTTAAGATGTATATTAAAGCTAAGTCTGTAAGAATATGAATTACATTCTTGTCAAGGTTATCCGAGCTGATTGCCACTGCAATACAGTGCAAATTGCATATTTCACAACCACGCACACCAACCTATAGCTTGTAACAATATCCAGATAAAATGAGAGCAATGCAACAGATTGATCATTAAAATTGTGTGTTCTGTGATTCCATTAAATGCAAATGAGGGAGTAATTGTACACATGGGCTTGTGGAATTTGTTGGCAATGATTGGGAAGTGTTTGTTTGCTCATTCCAGCAATTAAAACATTTGAGAATTAGACC